ATAATATTAGTGTTTTGTTGTGGAACATGTGCACAATACATGTCACTGCACATTATAATATGTACATTTCTGTTTATGACCAACAAATGCCTTGAATCCAATATTTACATTGATTTTCTTTTTTAGTGAAACACACGTACACAGACTGTTTACAGCCTCAACTTGTCATCTTTGTTTGTACGTTATGTAACGAGATCTAACGGGCTCCTTTCAAACAAATGTGCAACTGCAGTCAGTGTTTGGTGTTCCATTGCTAACCCTGTACTTTCACATTTGTTTTTGTCTGTTGTGTGTGTGTGTGTGTGTGTGTGTGTGTGTGTGTGTGTGTGTGTGTTTCGGGCACTCCCTGTCTTACACGCCCTGCTTCTAGAAACAGTACTGCCTGTGCACAAGGACCTGTCTGTCTCGTTCTGCCTGTGTGTGTGTGTGTGTGTGTGTGTGTGTGTGTGTATTAGCCACGTTTATCACACGCACACTGGCTTTATTTAAACACTTTATCAGCACCGTCTGATCTGGAATGAATCAACTATTTGTCAATGGTCTGTCTGACGATGTAATGTTATCAAGACGGATGGCGACACAAAGACTTATTTTGAAGGCTTTATTAAGTGTGTGTGTGTGGCTGCAGTTTAACTTAGTGTGCATTTAAATCTCTCAGCAGATAACAAATCTGTAGTGCATTTTTTCCCCTCAGTTCTAGGAACAGCTTGATGATAAAATGAGATGTGCTTTATTAATTGCCAAATTTTCGAGATGCTTGTTGGTGAATTTCTGTCTCCTCAGGGTTGGATATCAGGGGTTCACATTAAACGAACACACAATATGCACATATAAGGACTGTTCTCTGTTCGTGGGGTTTCACTCTTCACTCTTCTGGCATCAAATAGCAGTTATATAATTCTGTACCAAATTATATTTAACAACAACAGTCTCCTCAGATGTGGTTCCAGAGGATCATTTTTTAAAATCAAATTAAGCAGGGGTCCGTGGTGTAATCGCTTTTTTTGGAAAGAGGTGAGCTGTGGGTGGAGGTGAAGAGCCTTTGATGCGAACAGGATTGGAACCTCTACATTCTGAGCTCATCGTAGATTCACTCATGTTCTGGCGTGTCAAATGCCAGATTCCCCTCAACCGGGTGTTTTCAGCACGCATTAAAGTCCTCGGAGTGTTTACACCCGAGCGCCGTGGACGCGTTGGTCACAGCTTCCCCTGCAAGGCCACGCCACTGTTTATGTCTGAGGCTGCAGCGCTTCAGCAGCGGCCAGAAGCAGCAAAACATGTTGTTTTTTTTCTCCCGCAAGACCTGAAAACTGGGCAGATGACGTCTCCTCAGTCAGACTGCAGGTTATTATCAACCTGAAGATGTTATTATTGAGGGTGAGGTGGAGCAGACAGTAGGAATGGGAGGGGATTTATTGTACATTGTGAGCAAGGTGGATTAAAAGGATGATTTTCATGTGACATTAAGAATGTGTCTGTCATCAAGTGATCAGTCTGGTATTTTTTCTGGCTGAAATCACAAGTTGCCTCCATTACTGTTGGCTTTAAGGTAGGCAAAGTGAAATTCAAGGTTTTGTTTTTAATTAAACTGTGGTATGAAATAATCTTTGAGGATTTTTTTTTGTTGCACAAATTCTAATGTGGTTCCAGACTTTTGAATGCATGCCAACATGTTTGAAGTCCAATAAAGTGAATTTGATGTGATTGTTGGGCAACAGAAAAGATAATATTACAAAAAAAAAAATGTTTAGTGGAGTACTTTGTTTTAATTTTTTAAAAAAAAAGGTTTTACTTCAGTGACTTAACATATTCTGTCCAGAAATAGACAATGACCAGGGCTTAGAGTCCTACATGAGGTAGAATTTACCTAAAAGTCAAAGATCTTTGGACGCAGAGATAATTTTGAATACATTACCAACTTGCAACAAGGTGGCCTAACCAGCTAACTAACGTGGAAAATCTTTCTCTTCCCCAAAAAACATTGCTGTGAATCGAGTGATTCATGAATTTTGGATGTTGGACTTTCCTTAAACACATCAACAGGAACAGCAACAGGACAGCTGTTGTTCAAATAGTCTCTGTTGGACATGCAACTGGGTATAAACAGACTGCTGACAAATGTAAAGCACAGTGACCACAAGCTTTAACTGCAAAAGAAATGGACCCAGAAGCTGCTTTACAAGTAGAGAGTCATTATCAAACTACAGGGTAGAAACTAATTAAAGAAACAGTTCAACATTTTGGGAAATACTAAGGAGTAGTACCCGTCACACATCTGTTCAGTGGTTTGTTAATGGTGCAATCACAGTATAATATTAGCATGCTTTAGTTCGAAGTCTGCTGTGACTGTGTCATAAAGCACCAGAGATAAACTGTTTTCTTACAGTCATTTAAAATTTTTTGATATGAAGCAATACTTTGAGAAATGTTCTTATCTTATCAAGAGAATTTAGATGAGAGCATAGATGGTATTTTTATGCAAAGCTAATGCAATAGCTTATCTTGGCATAAAAACAGAAAGCTGGAAAACAAGATCAAATACTTCTCTTGTGTCTGTACAGTAAATATGAAGATACAGACCGCAAGCGTAGTTTAACACACAGGAGGACTGCAATTAAACATTATTTTCATTGCTGATCAATCTGTCAGGTATTTCCTTGATTTATCGGTTAGTTGTTTAATTTATAAAATGTCAGAAAAAGTTGAAAAAGTTGGATTTTTTAAAGTGATTTTGCTATCGATTTTTCTTGTCGATTTACAGTCAGCCAGTGATCCCCAAAGCCCAAGATGATGTCTTCAAAAGTCTTGATTTGTCAACAACCCAGAGATTT